TTTCGATTTGGCTAAATGGTACCACCAGCTTCTGGATCTTTCTCTCAAGGAAATATGACTTCTTATGATTTAGGTAGGTCCCTCTAAAGCTAGCATTCTCCTATTAAAGAAGGAAAAATGAAACTCTTAAAATAAAATAAAATAAACTTACATCAAGCTAATTTCATAGTAATGTTACCAGATAGCAGCAAAACAACACCGTATCAAATGAGGTTTTGTGCTGAGCACTTCTAAAATATTTTTTTCCAGCTCCTTCAAAATCTTTCTGGTTTCTATTATAAATACATTAAAGTATGTTTCCATACTTCTCAGAGACTAATAACATTTGACAATATTTTAAAATTAAATTGCCAGCTTGGCTTAGAATACTACAAGTTAAAATTTTATTTTACCCATTTTCAAATTTCCTAACCATTAATTCAAATCTTCCTAACCATTAATTCCCAAGGATGCACTTCACGTTTCCATTTAAAGACAGAGCAAGCTGATGATTACTTGATGCAGAGAAGACAGCCTTGGAATTGCTGATAGAAATTTTGGATTTAAAATCCAGATTGGCTGCTTACTAGCTGTATGAATTTGGATACATTACATAACTTCAATAAATTTCAGTTTCCTCACTTATAGAACAGCAATAAGACCAATTTTACAAAGGTTGTCTCAAGATTAAATGAGATTAATAGGTTATCAATAAATAGATTTATTTCCTCTTCTGACTCCACCTCTGTTTAGTTTGGAATGAACTGGTTATAATCCAGCTTGGAATGAGCTGTCAGAAGATCTATGATGTCAGAGGTTTTGCAATGAGAAGTAGAGCACTTGATTTTGAGGATTATCCATGGCCCTTCTTCTTTCATTTATTATACACTAGCACACCAGAGGGAAGGCAGAAAAAAGAAAGGACGCAGTAGATTGCTCGTGAAATCTTGCTAAATTGATGTTAAGGAAAGACTGAGGTAAAAATCAATCAAATCAGTTGGGTTATATTTTAAGAAATAAATCGATGTGGCCAGACTATAGAGCAATCATATGAATCTCTTCAAGTGGACAGAAATGTGGCAACTGAAACTTAATGTAATTAAGGACAATTTATGAAAAAATAAATCTACATTTTATATTTAAAATAACCAATCAGGAAAGAGTCCTGGGAGTCCCCTGTTGATTATTTTCCAAAGACATCCCCAGTTTTTCTGTTATGGGAAAGGCCTGCATGGATTTGAGTATCGTCAATAATAAAGAAAACATAATGGAAGTCATTATGTCACTCATGGAGAAAGCTGTGAAAGCATCACCTCTAAAATACTTAATCTAGTTCTATTTGATCTAACTTCAGAAAGATGCAAAGAAACTAGAAAAAGGCCAGAGAAAAGAAGCCAAACTGGCAGGTGAAAGGAAGGCTAGGAAATTCTAAATTCTAAAATCCTTAGAAGTGAGACATGGTTTCTTAGAATTGGAATTATCCTTAGACATCATTCCTATGCTTCTACAATATTCCTGATAAATCATAAATAGTTTAGTTATCAAAGGCATATTGTATGCTGGGGACTTATTAGACTCCTTCCTTTTTTTGCAGCCTGCGTCCAATCTATCACGTCACATATATGTCAAATACATCCACTTCTCTTTATCTTCACTGCCACCAGCCTGGTCCAAGTCTTCTTTCTTTCTCATTTAGACTACTATAATAGAATCCTGACTGCTTACCCTCTTCTACTTCTGCTCCTCACAACTATGTTTGAATTTCCCAAACCATTGCAAGCAGAATGATCTTAAAACGTAAATTAAATCATGACATTGGCATACTTAGAATACCTTCAGCAATTTTTCATCAATCTTAAGATCAAGCGCAAAGTAATTAAACATGGCCAGGAATGATAAGCTTCTGCCTCCTTTACGAGTATCACCTCATGTGGCTTTTCCCTTTCCCTTTGTTCACCAAGGTATATCCATACTGGTTTCCTTTCAGTTCCTCAAAATAGCTAAATGTTTCCCCACTTAGGAGTGTCACATATAACAATAACCACCAGCCCAATGGCTAACATTTATCAAGTGTTTACTATGTGACTGGCATGGTGCTAAGTGCTTTATGTGCATTATCATGTTTAATCCTCATAAGAAACTTTATAAGGTAGTTATTTTTATCCTTTTATTGATGAAAAAACAAATTAATTAAGAAATTAATTAATTTGTCTAAAGCAAGGTAAGTGGCAAAAGTGAGAAATACGTACAGTGCATATTTTAGGAATGTTCTTTCTCCCCATCTTCCCTGGCTAACTCACACCATTCTTATGGTTACAATTCATATGTCAGTCCTTAAAACAGCCTTCTCTCATCTCCTGATAAGAGATTTGGCACCCCTGTCATAGTCCCTTAAATTTTTCTTTTATAGAATGTATCACAGTTATAATTATATGTTTCTTTATGTGATCATTTAATGTCTGTCAAATCTCCAATAGACTATAAGTTTCATGAAGGCAGGGACCATATGAAGGTGTGTGGTGCAATCAATAAATATCTGCTGAATAAGTGATTGAAGATAGTCATCAAACCTTCCAATAATGAGGTGTTGATCACTCTATGGAAGAGCCTATTTGAATGTTAGAAATTCTGTTAAAATATCCTTGCCTACATTAAACCAAAATCTATTCCCTTATGATGTCTATCTACTGATACTAACACTGGTCTCTTGACCAATATTGAAAAAGTGTATTCTTTCTTTTACAGCTCTTCAAATAATTTCAGCCTAGACAGTTTAGGACAGAGAGGACTGGTAATTATGGTGGAATAATTCTAGATTTACTCATAAAAAGTGAAATGCTAGAATGAGAGAGAATAGAGGGCATCTTTTGAGATTAGAGACTCATTTAGAGCACATTTACAGCAGTTAATTCTTTGTACACAGCATGTATTGCAAGAGGTAGACATGAAATATATATGTGACTACTGTGCTTGGCGTGCTGTATCATAAATTGGGTTCTAATTGGTATAAATCTAGAAAGAAAGAAATAAAACTAGAGAAGTTCCCGTTAAAGGCAATTAAATTACTGTACAAGAAAATTGGGCAAGGTAAAAACTATTTTGCAAGATTGATGTCATAAAGTACAACCCTATTCTTCCCATATCTCTTAAGAGTTTTCTTGGTAACAGAACTCTGGTGTAGATGAGCTATATTCCCAAACTTGGAAATTAACAAGACAAAATAGAAGCTGGGAATTACTGAGAGCCAAAAATATTCTTTAGGCATTTTATATTGTTGAATTACCTCAATATAGTCAGTAATTTTTTAAGGAAGCCTTTATCTCCCATTCTTAACAAGAAAGAAAGACTCTCAAAGTTGAAAAAGTCCTTTTGTTTGGTAACTCATCTGATGCTTAAAGCACCTCTAACAACATTTATGCCAAATAGCTGTTGAACTAATATTAAAACATCCCAGTATGGTATAATGCAGAGATTTGGATTTTGTGTTTAGAGCTTTGGGTTTAAATCTCAATTCAGCAATTTATTAGCTATGTAACTTTGAATTATTAATAGTTACTTGCTGAACTCCAGTTTCATAATTTTAAAAACTGGAATAACAAAATGTATCTTCAAAAAATATCATAATATAAAACATCAACATTATGCCTGGCACATAGTAAATGTTCAGTAACTATTATTTTTCCTTCCAGGGACAAAAATCTGCTACCTGCCAAGACAGTCCATTTCCTTTTTGGATAGCACTGGCAATGGGTTCTTATATTGTGTGTAACTAGTCCAAAACTATTAAGTAAATAACATTTAAAAGTTTACTATATAAGATCTTATCTTAAGAAAAGATGTTCTTCAATGGTATTTTTACTTTGGATACTAACCTCAGTTTATATATATTTCTTAAGCACTCTGTCACTCAGAAATGGAAGAATTTAATCTGAGTGACTTTAGAGAAATGTTACAATTATATTTGATAAGAAGTTTTTAATAATCTAATTGATATAAATACTGCATTGACATTTCCCTTCTCAGCAAAAACAAGAACAAAAAGTTCACCATCTAGAGACTCAGGATTAACTGGGGCAAAGATCTTTTAAGATTAAATAGATGCCTCCTTATTTTATTAATAATTAATGATAAAAATAAGAGTATGAGATATGTTTTGTTGTTTTATCATAAGACTAGGATTTATAATTGTTTATGTAAGCTTACAAAACAATTTTGTAGAAAATTTTATTTTTGTTTAAGTCATAATTAGGTTATAGACTGGGAATTGAATTTGCTCATTTAAGTTATCAAATGATATCACCTGTTTTGTGACAATTAGCACACTGTAAATATATTCACTTTCCTTGTGTTAATTTAATCTTCTGCTTTATAAATGTTATATGAGTTCACTTGTTAAAGTATTCAAATTCACTTGTTAGCTGGCTTTCCTCACTGCAGAAAATAAAATTACTTTTAACAGATTTGGTTCAAATATAACAGGAAGCCTGTACTTCCACAATAATACAAATTCAAACAACTCAAACTTTATTTGAGGAAAGGAATTATACTTTCCAGTTCATTATCTGTTGGTTGACTCCAAGATTTCAAATCCAAAGAAAAATTACCTCCAAGCTCTTAAATTATTTTATGATTTAATAAGCTTTTTAATAATGAATAA